AATTTTTAATAGTCATGGCTGGTTAGTTGGTTGTTTTTTCCTCTGGGATGCAGTTGGCAAAGCTTTTCCTTTGCTCTGATATACAGCCAAGCTTTGTTGACCTTAGCTTGTAATTGGGATCAATACATCTTCACTCCAGGTTTAATGAGATACACACCTCCTGAACTCCATCAATTAGAAACTACCTTTATAAACAGCGAGCAAAATAAGAAGATGCCACTGAGTTCTATTTGATTTTTTTTTTTTTTCCAAATACAAAATCTAATGTTTTTACAGAGATCAGAATGTGTTTGTTGAAACAATATTTACCATAAAGCTGAGGGATCCCATGTGTATTGTGGCAAAAGGCAATTTTACAACACTTCCTTTCCTGTAATCACTCTTTTTCAGCAATTTTTCTATAGGCAGGCAATCAAACTTTTTCTAAATAAAAGAAGTTTACACGATAAAATTAGATTGTAATTTAAGATGTGCATAGAATATTTCATGGTAGATTGTTTCCTAATAACATGTGTATACCACAGACCTTTAATTTTCTTTAATTAATAGAAAATATAAAAATGACTGCTCCTTGTATTTGATAGACCAAGTATCTTTAAATACATTAACAAATATTGAAGAACAACACAAGCCTTCTTGCTGACATTTTCTTTCCTTTGCGCTGCTGTAGCTCTGGAATGGAGGTAAAAGCCAATAGTGCCTCAGTGATGTCAAAGTGGAGAAAACAGGTGATGTTTGATAATGCTCAAAAGAGGGAAGAGTAATTCTTTAATATTTTGCAGCATAAATTCTTTCCAGTTCTTAAACTGTACTCAGTTCTTTGATATTAGGTGTTAGATATTATTAGGAATTGTTTCCAGTAGGCATTGTCTGAGATGAGTCAGAAGGCAGAGTGAAGCAGTTGGAATTCAGTGGTGGTCCACTGCCTAAGCCCACCCCACATAACATGGAAAGTTTTTACAGAGGCGTCACCAGTTTTCACACTCTCTTTCAGAGAACACGAGGAAAAGAATGTCCTCCTTTTTCCAACTTTAGCTTCCTAGTGGAAAGAAGTGTTTAGCTGGAAATTTTGTGTGTGCGTATTCACTAACTAAAAAAAGAACAGGCATTCCCTGAAGATGGTGTAGAGATTTTAAGAATGTGCCTTCGGTATTGTAGTTTCTTTCTTTCTTTTTTTTTTCTTAACTTCCATCCCTGCTGTTGTTTGTCTTAATAGTATCTATATTAGTTTGTCTCTGACCACAGACTCTGGAGTGGATGCAGAGCTCTGCTCTCTGGGGTAGAGGCGTCAGATAGGACAACTCTTTTTAGAAGTAGTTGAAACTGGGGAGCACTGGTTGTGTTCTGCTGCTGTGAGCAGAGATAGATCACTAGTCTGTGCAGAGCAGTCAGCACTGTTTCTATCATTGCATTCATTAAATCATCACTCTTTGAACAAGATGAGTTGTTGAGGGCCCATCAATGGCTTTAGGTAGCATTACTGGTGCTCTCACACTCAGCTTCCTTAAAAATGTTAGTTTAGGCACTGTGGGGTAAGGGCCCTTGCCCTCTGAGAAGAGGCCAAAGGACCTAGGCTTGTTCACCCCTGAGAAGAGCTGGCATTGGAGAGACTTCACAACAACTTGCAAGGAATTGCTGCGCTCAGTTGGCATGAGGTGAATCAAGGGAGATTCAGACTGAATATAGGAAAAGCCTTTCCTCCCTGGGGACAATCCAGCTGTGGGACAGGTTGCCCAGAGAAGAGAGGTCTGTGAATTCTCCATTCTTAGAGGTTTTAAAGATTTGAATAAATATAGGTCTGAGGAACCTGGTCTGGCTTCATAATGGTTGATATTAATGACCTTCTGAAATCCTTACTATGGTCCTGTAGTTTTGGGAATCTCAGCACATGATGAACAAGGATAGATGAGGATGGTAAGGAAAAGCCAGAACAAATGAATGCAGACAGCACACAGGTTGTGAAAGACTGAAGAACATAACTGAGCATACAAAAATGCCCCAATCTTTGTTATGTTGGATATGATTCAACCCTGGATTAGAGAGTGTGGTACAGTCTTGTCATTTAATTTTGTAAGATTCCCTTTAAGGCTCCAAGGTCATGAAGAAATCAGTTTACATTGGCAGTTCTTTGTGCTGATGACGGAAATTGATTTTGCTCCTCTTGTGAAGGAGCATGAGCCGAGCCTTTGCATTGCTGCTCATGCATGTGCTTTAGCCCTAACAAAGAACAGGATGCCAGCAGGTTTCTGAGCATGAGAGATACCCTTGCTGAAATTCTAAGTCTCGCTGTTAATAAAGACTTGGCTGGTTGTTAATTGCTGTGGTACCCTGTTGGTGACTGTACCTCCGTGCTTAAGCACAGTAAATGCTTAGTTGGTATTTTTCTTTGGCAAAGTGACATAATGAAGACCTTTATTTGCCTCAAGCACTTCACAAAACAGACATTTTTCCTGACAAGAGTAATTACAACAGACCTGTATTCATTTATGTTGCCATGCTACTTAGGTAAGTGGTACGAACAAAAAGAATGGGAGATGGATGAGTACTGTGTCAGGAAAATAAGACTGCAAGAAGCACAAGGGTCGTAAAAGACATAGAGTGAAGAATAAAAGGAGGGATAAATAACACCACATGGGAAGGAACAAGGACAAAGATGAGGGAAAGAAGGTGAAAAAGCAAATGAAGACTATGAGAAAAATTAGAAATTTAATTGATAGCTAAATAATGGATTCAAGTATTATGCCAATAACTGTTTTAAGACTGTAAATGCTTCTAAGAGTTACAGTGCCTGTTTTAGTGAGAACTGTTGGTGATAGGTGGATGGTTGGACTGGATGATCTTGTAGGTCTTTTCCAACCTTGATATTTCTGTGATTCTGTGACAAATATCCTCTATCTATGACTACAGAAAATTGGAGAACTTATTTCAAAGTTCAATGACAAAAGATGTGGCCACTAAAATGCAAAAAAAAAAAAAAAAAAATTCCCTTTGAAATAGTTGGTAAACAGTGGAAATGATCAGTGTTTCATGTGCAAGCAAATGAAAGGTTAAAAGTACAAATTCTCTATCTTCTAAATTAAGATGAAGTTTTAGAAGGTCATGGGATCTCATCACTCTGATCCCATCCAGAACTTACGCATGCTGATGGGATCACATAGAAGAGACTTTGTGTGAGTGGAAGGGGAGAGACAGGAATGTCTTTCAGACTGGCCCAGAATACAAGATCATATTTCTGTTTGTAATATTCTTTCTGTAATATTCGTTATAAAAAGGGATGTGGCTGACATCCTGTGAAATTATTAATATCTGTGGATAGCAAGAACTATAAATGTGTTCTGCTGCACATTGTCCTGATTGCAGTTCATACTAAAATATGGTGATCCCCAGAGACAGTATTTTCATAGGACATGAAATGGCTTTAGGATGTGAGGAAACAGCCTCAGGTTGTGCTGGGGGAGGTTTAGATTAGATGAGAGGAAGAATTTCTTCACAGAAAATGGTTAGGCATTGAATCAGGCTGCCCAGAGAGGTGGTACAGTCACCATCGTGAAGGTATGAGATGTGTGGGCGTGGTGCTTAGGGACATAGTTTAGTGGTGGGCTTGGTAGAGTGAAGTGATTGTTGAACTTGATCTCATGGGTCTTTTCCAAATTAAATAATTCTGTGATTCTGTAGCCTGGTACCAGCACTCTATGAGCCTTCCCTTTTTGAAGAAAAGAATGACCTGCAAAGGACTCTGTTTGTTGGCAATACAGAATAGGGCTCTATTTCATCATGAATAGAAAAGAAACTCCCCAGACTCTTTTGTTTGAATCCACTTACAGGAAAAAAAAAAAAGAAAAAGAGAAGATAACATTATAGCAAGATAGCATCATAAAAAGGCTGCAGAAAGCTTCTTGTGTTGTATTAAATAAGAGGAAAGACTGAATATTTGTCACCTTTTTACTCAAGATGGAAATCTGAACCAGAGAGTATGGAAGGACACTAAGTGCCTCTTATCAATAGCAATCACCGTTGTGCTCTTGCACAGCTGGCACTCTCCTGACTCAATTATTGTCTCTTGTACACCTCACTGGTTTTGTTTCCCACAATATCCCATATAGCTGCTTCTCCAAAAATGATGGCCTCCCCATTCTGCCTCACTGCACAATTTTTTGTTCTGTTTTTCTTGCTGGTTAAACCTTTCCTATCCTAAAGTATAAACCAGGAGGGCTCTTTTCTTTTCCTCTTTCTGATTTTTCTCTTCCGGGGAGAATGTCAGTGAATAGGATATGTTTCAGTGATGACAGTTAATTTCCATTGCTAGCCAGTTTTATAATAATGACTTCAATGTATCAATGTTTTAGAATCTTGTATGTAGGTTTCATTTCCCATGCTCTTAATATACTAAGATGAGTGTTTCTCCAATAGACACTAATTTTTAGATAACAAATACAGGCAATGCATCATTCACAATATTTAACAGTAATAATGGTAGCCTCATTAGAAAATGCAAATCCAGGCTTTTTTATCAGAGAGATGATCCAAATGATGAACTTGAAATTGCTCTGAGAAAGAGGCATATAGATAGGGCTTACTTGGAAGGTTGGACTTGATGGCTGTCATCCCTGGAATGCACTTTATTTGAGAGTCTACCTCCAAGAGGATTATGAAATGGTTTTGGGAAGAGGGTAGGAAGTGTTCGTTCTCATATTGATAAATGGATGAGTGGAACTTGTTTACAAGAAGGAGCAGCAAAAAGGAGAAGTACAAGATGTGACTTTCATAATAAAAGTTAATAGTGGGAAAACATCTCAATGTGTTTAGAACAATTCAATTCCCACAATGTGTTCTGTTAATGCTGCAATTGTGTTATGTATGCATGGAAGCACACAAAGCACTCTACTTTCCAAATGCTTTATTTTGTCCTTGAACAAGTAATGAACAATGCTTTAAATTGTGGAAATCCAGATTCTAATCTTATGCTTTTCTCTCTGTGTTTTCTCCTTTCACTTATCCAGGGAGTAAACTTTTGGTTACAAAGACACAATTACTGCTCTGAAGGAATGATGAAAGGTGTTTTGACGTGGAGGTTACCACAACTGCTTCATTACGGGAAAAAATTGAGAAGCTGCATTGACTTACCATCTACTGTGTTTTAGCCACATCCTGTAGTGGAACTTGACCATGAGAGCCAGTCTGATATGTGGTTTGTTTTTTTGTTGTTTTGTTTTCTTAAGATCTCGAAAGTCCCATTTTAAGAAATTATCATACTAAGCACATACCTCAGTCTTCATAGATCTGCTGATGTGGGCATGTAATGCCTGCAGCCTCTTATGGCGTTGAGCATTCCAGAAAAAGGCTTTGGTTTAAGTTAGGATGTTCAGTATTTCTGAGGACATGTTAGATGAAGGTACAAATTGTCCAGGAAATGAGATAGAACTACATTTTTACAATGTATGAATTGAGGATGCACTTCATGGACACAAGAGAAGCATTTGGAACTTCAAAGCACTGTGTCCTAATGCTCTAGATTGATTGGTATTCAACCACATGAATAGGCCACATTGAATTTAACTTTCAGATAAGGTATTCACATACATGCATTCTTTTTCTGAAGTAGGTGTTTCTGCACCCATTGGTTGATAATATTACACGTTATGCAAAAATATTTTGCAACTACAGTATATTTTATGCACTCATATCTCCTGCTATTCATAACTAAGTATCTATTTGTGAAGGCAGGCAGACATGAACACTGACACAGGACTTGTGCTTAAGTGGTCATAAGTGGTCATATAGATATGTACATTCCTTCTTTAACTACAAGCTTGCACAGCGCTGCTGAAGTCTGTGGCAACTCACGTTGTCCGAGTGGAAACAGCCATAGATCCTGATCTCCCAAACCGTCCCTGTCACCGTAATGGACTTTCAGTGTTGACAGCTGTTTTTTGTGTTTCTTTTTTTTTTTCTTCTTGAGTTTGCTGCTAGAATGTGCTGATCTTTACAAAGCTCAGTCTCCCAGTAATAACAGATATTCTTTGAAAGGAGGCAGAAGGATAAAAAAAAACAGTGGAATCCAAAATCAGATTAATGTAATGTGTATTTCCATCTTATGACTAGTAACAAGATGGCACGTTGGCATGTTAACACTTGAAGTTTAACTACAAGTTTTTAAAATGAAGCAATGACGTATGCGTAGGTTTCTCTCCCTTTGCATACTATCCACCAGAAAACGTGCATCATTTTCACAGCACTCAGGCAATTAAAACCTACTACTTGCTATTGAATTAATTGTTGAACTAAAACATCATGCTTCTTTCCTAGCATTTATGCATAATCTCCCACCATGAATTATAAATGTTGATAATGAACCTGTCCATTTTGTATCATCTTAGGCTTTCTATTATCAGATTTCATTTCAAAATGATTAGCATAAGATATATAAAGCACGCTTCATTCTTTGTGGTTTGTACCATGATTTTCTTTCAATTCTGCCACAGCCTAGTATGAAAACCATCAGACCAATATAAGAAGACCGTGTTTATTAATTGAATTGATAGACCATGTGGCTGAGGATCAGGAACTAAAATTCCAGTCTTACCTTAAATCGCTAACAGAAAATTTTTAAATGTGAGATTATCAACTGAAACAGAGATCCTGGCTATTATTTTTTGGATACCTTACGGTGAAAAGTGTTGTCTGACTGCTACAGAGTCTGTTCAGTTTTCTTTTGCTAAGCAGAAGTTAACTTGTTAGATGTGCTGTCTATGGCAAACAGGCTGGGCACTGCCTTACGTACGTCATTGTTTTGTGTTAAACTTCCTCAGAATGCAAAATGAGGTACTTTGTTCTGATTGCTTTATATGCACAATATCGCTTTGACCAAATTCCTCAGTCAGAATTGAGGTGCTGCTAAATTCTAAGTAAAAATAACCTTCTTTTGTCGCCCTAAATAGACAAAGTGGGCTGCGTTACATGATGATTTCTTTGACAGTTCACTTATTTCCATATGCTATAATGTATAGAGCATCACAAGATACTGAAAATATAGCTTAATGTATTTCCAAAGCTCCTTGTGCAATCTTTAAAGCCTGAATTCTATTCTTCGTACTACTATGGATGGCATATGCTTGGAAGTACCATGATTGACTCCTGCACAATAATCACATTACATTCAGAATAATGCAATTGCTGGGAAATATTTCACATACACCGGAGGGTTCTCAAGTTAAACCTCCATAGTAAGGTATGGATGATGTTTAACCTTGTGGGCTTTTAAAAAGTGTAAACCTTGACCTGTATTTCTAACTTGCAGAGGAAGGATTTTAGTATTTCGATTTTCTATGGTTGTGGGTGGAGGGAGGGAGATGTACATGCTGGGTTTTGCTACTAATCCTTTGGAAATCCTTTAGTGCCTTAAGGAGGCAGAGGGGAAACAGACCTTAGGATTACGGAAATTTGTTCAAACCTCTTTCCTGCTTCAGCAGAGTTCCTTTAAAATGTATTGTGCCTTTGGCTCCAAACATATTTGCATTAGAAATCAGTAGCAATAGGATTATGGAAAGGAATTTTTGTCCCCACAAAACTGTTAGAAAAGAAAGTATACTGTTTATTATGTAGGGTGTGAATTAAAAATATAGCTGACTTAAGTTTTATCACTGTCTTCCATGCCTAAACCATTATTTGCTAACAAGGATAATTGCAAGTTGGAGATAGAATTAGAAAAGAAGAGTAAGTTTAAATGTACTGGATGAGATACTCGTACCACAAATCTCCATTGGTCTCCCTGGGACCAAGATTTCATGCAATCTACTTGGCTTAAGAAATGCTCAAATCTGATAGGTATACAGCAATATAATACAGCTCTGTTTAACATTTTCTAAATACGTAGGGGGGGGGAAGAGAGATGAGTAGTTGTGAAGACCTTCTTTGATTTGGAGTCATTGGGATCAGTGGTATAAATCTCTGTTCAATGTTATTTTTGTCTGTAAGAGACTCTTGTTATTGGAATATGAATATGCAAATATAAATTCCAACGTGAGAGGGTACTGTGCAGTGTGAACTAATGGATGCTGAATATCTGCATTTCTCTGCTCTCAGAATAGTGGTTGTGTCTTTTTTTAAATGAGGGAAAAAGTAGTTCACTGGTTAAAACCACTCCTGTGCAAAAAGTCTTTGAGAGGTTGTTCATTTTCTCACCAGTGTTCCTAAGCAGATCTTAGGAGAAGTTGATCAGCGTTTGGCTTGGAGATGGGGAGGGAATTTTATAGTTTGTTGGCACAGAGCTACCAAAAGAAAAAAAGTAAAAAAGAAAAAAAAAAGTGGATATGAAACTCAGAGGAGTGGTTGTCTATTTCTCTCCCTGTGATGACAAACAAGTTTTAAAAAATATGTGAATAGTTAGAAAATATTATTACACAGCTCACAGTATATAAGACAAGATGCAGCATGGAACAGATTTTTATGGCTTGTTTATAGATTAGGTTTCTGTCTTTTGTTTGGAATTTGGAGAGAGAAAACATGTACATTAAATAAGGAGTAAAAACTCTCTACTCACACTGACTGAAACAAAGATATTTCCCCACCTCCTGGGCATTAATGAGAAATCTGGGATAAATAATGTATGCAGATGTATTTTGAGCTCTACTGCTGTGCAGCTATTCAGCTCTTCTGCACAGCCACTAGTGTTGTAGTTAACATGAATCATTGGGGATGCAAGTTGGGGTCCTTTTCAAGAGGTGCCAAAGAATTCACAAAAAGGCTGGGGTTTATGGTTTGATGCTTATTAAACAGATGTACCAGCTAGATGTTTTTGGAGGGAAAGGGTTGTAAATAAATGCAAAAATTTTAAACTCTGACCCATGATTACCCTGTAATTGGGTGTCAAAGTGGAGAAGCTAACCAAGAAGTTTCAGTAACAAGACAGAGACCACTCTTGATTTTGATTTGTTCATGGATAACTTTTCAATAAAGATTTCCACTTTAAGGCATTTATCATGGATGTGAATTGTACATATGTATTAATTTTCAATGTAACTAGGGTGAATACAGAATTGTAATGAAGTCACAAAGTCTACTTGATGATTATCACAGATTTGTAACTCTCACAAATTATGTAAGATATGTTGACATTTTATCTTGTTAACAAGATGTATTTTTCTATGTTAGTTAAATGTATAATTTGTACAATTTTGTATATTAAATGTATTCATATTTTAAATTAAAAACTTTATAATTTTAATTATTTTTAACTCCAAAATGGTGGTGGAGCTTTTAAATATAGTTGTAAACACAACTGTATCCCTTCATAGCAACCAAGAAAGTTTCCATTTTGAGGAAGGGTCATCAACTATTGGCTATTTGATCGGCTACCAGGATAAAGATACTGCTCAGTCTTTAGTTCTTGTTCCTCTTCGTAGAAAAGCTGTCATTCAGCTTCTGATGACTTTGCAGAATTAGCATGAGTTAATCGAACAGTACTGGCTGTCTTTTTATTGTAGTTTCTCAGGAAGTAGGAAACATCAGACTTTACTGGCTTGTGGAATTTTGGGTCCAGTTCTGACATATCAAGGGGCTGTGCAAATTTCCAATGTATAGGACAGGAACTGGGGACAGGAGAAGGGTACAACAGCCAGAAATCCAGTAGTTGTGTAGAGCACAGAAGGAATCTCAGTGATTCAGCTTTATCCTCTGGAAGAAAGAAATCTCAGATCTCTTTCACTCTCACTACTCATGCTTTTTTTTTTTTTTTTTTTTTGTCTGATGATTGTGCTGTAAAATATGCAAAGCAAAAAAGCAAAAGCAGGTGGAAAATGTACATTGCATGTTCTCTGAGCTCCTGTATTTGAGAAGCCATTTTCCAGCTCTCGGCATTCATACTGTTGAAAGAAGAGTTCCAGCTACCATTGGCAGGTTGGTAAAATCACATATTTTTCATTGGAATTTTGTTGAAAGTTTTTGTTGAGGGAAGCAAGCACGTCTCTAGGTTTTCTCTCATCTAGCCTGTTTGGAATATAATTTGTCACTAGTGTTATGTCAGTATAAAGCTTAAAGGTCCTATAGGAAGAGGGTGCAATTTCAATTAAGCTCTGTCCTGTTTTCACCAAGTTATGCCAAGATGAGACGAAACACAGTGTCTGCAGAATATTCCAAAACTACGTAGTTCTCCAAAGCTGCGTATGTATTTTTAGGTAAATTCGTGAGGTGACGGCATCGGGCTGTAACTGGGTCTTCTGGAGCAGCTGAAACAACAATTTTCATCTCTTAGTGAACAGAACAGCATGCATCTGTTCACTTAGAGCACGGGTAGTAAGCAAAGGTCTGTATTATGAAAGAAAATGCAAAAACGAACAAAGACATATGATTTTATGTTTGTTCTTAACTTGAAAGTTTTACAGTTTTCTGAAATGTTCATTTGATGTGTTCTTTGAGTCTTTCAGTCTCCTTACGCATTAAGATGAATGTTCTAGCTTGATACTAAACAAAAAAAAAACCTTTTTCTTTGTTGTTTCAAAAAACTGGGCAGTACTAGGAACCTGAACAATGTTACCACCTAGAAACCACGTAAACAGAGAGTCCGTCTTGACTTTGTGAGCATGAAACAAAAGATGCTCTTTAACTCTGAATCGTTGAGCAAACTAATGCATCACGTACAACATACTGGACCTACTGTGGGACCATCAAGAATATATTTTACTGAGGTTCAAAATTCGTCTTTTGATTGGAAAGAAAAGTCTTACGAAATGAGTATTTTTTCCAGTATTTAGGGTGATGTGTGACCTTCATGTCTTCCTGAATGTACCACCTACATTAATGTGGTAGCCCGTTTTACTGAGTTAGCTATGAAATCCTGCATAGGAATATGTGTTTAGGAATGCCAGTGGTGATGCAGCAATTACTTAAATCAGTGTGTTAATAACCAGGGATCAGTGAACCTTTGACTAATTCTCTAATTCCACTCATGCAGACAGCACAGTTTTCCATGGCATTTGAGACAGGAGTTACTACTGTTATAGGAAATGCAGAAAAGGAAGATGTTTCTCTTTGACTTGTTAGAGCAGTGCTCAGGTATGTTGCATAACAGCTTTTTACATGGCTTTGGTCCATTGGTAGTTGTTGATGAGAAAGCTGGTATACTTTGATGATGCATGTTGGGATGACAGCAGCCATTTGGATGGTGCAGTATTTAATGCATCTTCAGCCTGAGACCAGCAGTAGTTCATAAACTGGTTCCTTGGTTACATTTATGACGTGCTTTGAGTTTAGGGAGCTGTTTAAAATATATTAGCTGGATTATGACATGAATAATAATAAAGCATTAATATTTAGCCTGTTAGCTAGCAATTGAGCTCAAGTGTTGTGCAGTAAAACTAGGAATTGGAAAAGTCAGGGAGTCTGACTAAAAAATCCAATTTTAACCCCTTTCAAAAAGATTAAGTTTACTTTTTACCTCATGGCTTTTCAAGTGGCTGCTAACATTGGAAAAACAATTTGATTCTGACTGTTGTTTTTATTTTTATATTTCCCCAAATCCACACTTTTCTTAAGGAATGGCTTGGAATAAAGTTTGTGACACTGTCACTATTCAGTATTTGCACGTTTCCAGTTATCCACTGGGGAAAGCTATTAAACGTAACGGATGCTGCTTCTGAATGAAGATGTTCTGGGCCAAATGCTGCTCTTAGCTATGTCAGTGGAAATATGAGTATTATAAAGCCCGTGTAATGAACGATTTTACAGTGGTATAACTGAGTAAGACTTTGTCCTGTTGATGTGTTTACACTATGGAAAGCATTAAGTTTTTTTTTTATCTGCCTGTAGCTGTCTATGTCAGTCTACATCTGCTATATAGAGCATCCAAAGGAGGGCTACAAAGATGGTAAAGGCTATGAAGAACAGCTGCGGCCCCTGGTTTACTCAGCCCAGAGCAGAGGAGCTGAAAGGAGGCTTCATGGCAGCTGCAGCTCCTCACAGGGAGTGGTGGGGCAGCGCTGAGCTCTGCTTTCTGTGACAAGCAACAGGGCCCAAGGGAACAGCATGGAGCTGTGTCAGGGTAGGGGCAGCTGGGGTTAGGGAAAGGATCTGCACCAGACAGCAGTGAGCATGGAACGGGCTGCCCAGGGCCCATGCTGCCGATGTGTTTGGACAATGCTTTCAGTCATAGGGTTTGGGTGATGCTGTTGGATGATCCTTGTGTGTCCTTTCCAACTCAGGATATCCTGTGATATCCTGTGATCCTGTGAATTCCAAGGGACTTCTGCCTTTAATCTCCTGCTTCTTCTAATCAATCTACAACTTGCAATTCTTCTTCTGCTGGGACAATCAGGTGTGCCTGTGGCTCAGAGATAGCATTGTGTGGCTGGGCTTTGTGTTCAGATGGCATAACCACACTGTACATGAGCTGTAAGCAGGTCTTGTGATTGATCCAGTGCTTTGAATTTGCTTAGTCATTTAATCAGTGTCAGAGCAATTTGTTCTAATATTTCAGAGCAATAGAGTGCGATCCTTATGTAACTGCTGGTGCACTCAAGGCACAACAGGATTGTCTGAGGTCGGCTATGTGGGTGGGAGATGAGTATCCAAGGTTTTGTGCTCTTAGCGGACGACCCCCGTTTTGTAAGACAGGTAGAGGTGTAGAGCCGCACTTTCTGAAGTGGGCAGAGAAGAAAGCATTCTCAAATCCTCCCGCTTTAAACAGTAATAATAATAGAGAATCGGGGGTTGTTAGCTGGCACCGTGCCGACAGAACGAAGCGCTGCAGTCGGGTCCCGTCGGTCGCCTCCCGCAGCGCAGCCTTCAGCCGGCGCGGGCTGCGCGGTGCTGAAGGGACAGCTCCGCGGGGCGCGCCGGGCTGCGGGGGCTGCGCGGGGCGGATCCGCGGGCAGCTCCCACCGCGATCACTTCCGTGTCAGCGCTGCCGCCTCCGCGCCGCGGGATCGCGCAGCGGTCGGGGGCTGCGGGGCGGAGCGGGGCCGCCCTCCCCCTCCCCCCACACCCCCAGCACCAGCTGCTGCGGCACGGAGACGGCAGCGGCACCCCCTGCCCCGCCCCGGGAGGAAGGAAGGAAGGGAGGGAAGGAGGCGGGGAGTGCGAGTGTGCGAAGTGGGAGAAACTCCCCCCGGCTCGCTCGGGGGACTGGGGGGAGTGAGGGCTTTTTTTTTGCTTTTTTTTCTCTCCCCCCCGAAGCCACGTAGCAGCAGGTGACTGGAGCCCGCCCGGTCCCGGCCGTGGCTGGGTGTGCATGCGGCGCGCTCCCTCCTCCTCTCCCCTCCCGCCCCCCGGCTCATTCTTTATACCGGGGGAGCGTGTGCACTGCGGTCCTTGCTCTGGGAATTGCTGCTGCGCTTCCGATTCGTCAGGGACTTTCCAATCACCTGCCTCTGCCACCCTCTCCTCTGCTCTCTTTGTACTTTATTTTCACGTGCTCTTTACTAACACGGCTATTTCTAAATCCCGCTTGGATTTATTTCGTCCTCTCGCTTTTTCATAATCTTTTTTTTTTTTTTTCTTTTTCTGCTGGGGGCGGATGGCGGAGGGGAGCCCGCCGCCTGCATCTCCCTAAGGGCAGCATCCCGGCAGCCAACCCCGCGCCGCCGCAGCCGTCCATTCATTTTTATGGTCACGGGCAGCCTATCCCGGTAGCAGAAGGTGCAGAGAAGTGGGGTAGCAGAGAGCGAGCGAGGGAGAGACCCGCGCGGCAAGAATGGCCGAGAGAAAGAGGAACTGGAATAAAGAAGACGACCTGCCTGTGTATCTGGCCCGGCCGGGGACCACGGCGCAGACACCGCGGCAGAAATACGGGGGGATGTTCGCCTCGGTGGAGGGGGCCTACGAGAACAAAACCATCGACTTCGACGCCTACAGCGTGGGGAAGAAGGGATCGCGCACCCCGCGGAGCGGCAGCCGGCACGATATGCTGGACGGGGGGGACAACTACAGCGAGACCGCCAGCGACATCAGCGAGGTGTCGGGCTCCGTCATCAGCTCCCCAGGGGAACGGGAGGACAAGACTCCGGGCGTGGAGATCCGCTTCCCGCTGGGGAAGGAGCTGCTGCAGGGTCCCGACAATGGGCAGGTGAGCGGGGACACGGGGGACGGGATATGGAATGTTTTCGGGAGGTCGAGGAGGCTCTGCCCTCCCGTCCTGGCACGGGGATGCTGTGGGAACGGCCCGCCCGGCCTGGGTACTGTCTCACTCGTGAGCTTCCTGGGGGTGTTTTGCGGGGGGACGCGAAAGAAATCGTTTTTCCTTTGTAAGTGATGGCGATGAGTTTTTTCCTTCGTGCCGGTAGAATGCCGGCCGGGCGGGGGCGGAGCCGCAAGGTCGCCCCTGTCGCCCTCCCCGCCCGGGACGGAGCGACCTGGCCCCGCCACGCGTGGGATTGCTTCCTCCGGAGCCTCCGATGCCCTCACTGTGCCCCGGGTGGGGTGGCGAGGGGGGCGGCAGCTGTGGGCAGGATGGAGAGGGCTCACCACCTGGGTTCGTTTTGTAGACTTAAGGAAAAAGTGAGGCGAGGGCGGGGGAGCTGCGCCTCCATCTATTCCGATCGTAGCAACTGAGCCGGAGGCAGAGCCAGGCCGGCTCCGGGGCTGTCACTGATTTCCCTTTAGGAAGAACCGCGGCCTTCAGCCGTGTCTCCGCACCGCCGCTTGGCACCGCTCGCGGCCACCCGCCTGCGGCCGGGCTGGGAGCTCCGCTCCTCGCGTGAATAGGGGTCCGATCTACCCGGTGCTCGGCAGCCCGGAGGGGACACGGCTCCGCGCCCACCCCGCACACTGCGGCGACCTTGGTGTCTGTGCAGAGCTGCACTGCGGTGTTTCCCACCCCACCCGCACCCCTGTGTCGGAGCAGCGGGGAGGGCGCACCATGACCATCCCCCATCGCTTGGGACACCCGCGATGTCTCGGAGCACATCGCGTGTTGCTCTGGCAGGTCCCCAAAGTTCTAAGGCTGTGGGGGCGAGGATAAGCTGGCAGCACAGCGGACCCTGTGTAGTCTCTGGAGCGCTGAGCAGGGATGATCTGGAGAGGGGATGCGTAGGGGAAGCGACCTGGCTGGGAGATGCCACGTGCCTGTGTGCGTGTCGCAGCGCCGTGTGCGCAGTGTCCTCCCCTCGTTTGCACGGCGGGGATTAACTCGGAGGCAGCTCCGCGGTGCCTTTCACCCTCCCCGGATCCCACCCCGCACTCCCGACGCACGGGAGCCCCGCTGTGCCCGCAGCCCGCGATAGGGCGGCGGCGGGGCCGGGGCCGTGGGCGGCGTTTGCCAGCGCCGGTGTGGGAGGGAGTGGCTGGGTTGATGGGCAGGGAAAGGGGGGCCGAGGAAGGGGGATGTAGGGGTGGGGGACAGGAGGGAAGGAACCGCTTCCTGGGTTGAGCCGAGCGAATCCCGCTCCGACCTGCAGCCGGGAGGGCGCTGCTGCCGCCGGGAGAGGCAGCGCCCGCTGACCCCCCCGGGAGCCGCGTCCCTGTTTTATTGCAGCTGGAAAAAAAGGTGCCGGCTCCGCCTGGCGCTCCCCTTCCTCCGGGCGAGGAAACTTTGCCTCCATTACACAGCTCCGCCGGGTCCCCCCGCCCCGCCCCAGCATCCGAATTATCCTTATTCCCGTTATCCCCACCGTTATTTTTCTCTCGCTGTTTGGGGAGCGTTCCGGGCGGGAGCCGACATGTCGTACCAGGGCAAGAAGAGCATCCCCCACATCACGGTAAGCGCAGCCCGGCGGTGTACCAGCGCCTTTGTTAGCGGGCAGGGAACGGCGCTCAGCGGCCGCGCAGAGTCCGCAGGGGGCGGCGGGGAGCGGGGCTCGGGGGTTGCCGGCTGCGGGGCCACTGCCTCCTTCCACAGCTCTGCGCTGGGTTCGTTTTCGTTTCATTCATTTGATTTCGTTACTGTACCGCATCCGTCTGGTTTGATGGCGGGCGATTTCGCTATTAATTTTTCCCCGTACCTCGCCTTATAGCTCGGGCCCGACGGCGGTGGTTTGGGGTCGGGGGGCCGCCGGGCTCGGCAGAACAAAAGAGGGAGGGGACGCTGCAGCACGACGTGCCCCCGGCAGCGGGCAGGGGCGGGGGCCGGGCTGGGCCGGGGGTGCGGAGGGGCGGGGGGTGGGGGGGAGCGTGGAAAATGAGAGCGCCATGATGCCAGCGCCCACACCTCCGCGCTGGGAATGCATCAGGCGTGTCGAGATCAGGAGTCAAAGGGTTAATCGTCACCATCCTCCTCCTATGTGCATCCAGCGGGACCACAATGGAAGAGCTCTTTCCACGGCAGAAAGAAAGGATCTGGGTCCTTTATTCAATATATTGTTCCCCATAGACCTATAAAGGCGAGGCGGAGCTGGCGGGGAGGGGGCTTCTGTGGGCGATCTCTCCCTAGTGGGGCCATGCAGAGATGATGTGGGGTCTATCCCTGAGCTGGGCCCTGCTTTGCTCTCAGGAGTCGGGGTGGGGGTGATGGAGAAGGGGTTGGGGCGCTGAGTGAGAGCTTCTGGAGCCAGGGATTGGGCTGTGGGTGGGTGTGGTGGCTACAGAGCCAACGCTGCTGTTCAGGACCGGGGGGGGGGGGTGGCTTTCAGGAGGGCTTCTCGCTTTGGGAGAAGGCAAAATGTACTCTGAAGGCATCACTCAAGCCAATGTGATGTGGCTGTGAGCACCTGAGGACCTTTATCTCTTGTAATTGGAAAAAAAATCCTTTAGCTCAAATATTTGGACATGAAGGGAACAGCCCTTTTCTGAAAGCAGGGCTGAGTGGTACCAATGGGTGCAACAGCTGCAGTTCTCCCCTACCAATGGACACCAGTCAGGATGAGAGCATGGCTGCTGTGTGGGCTCAATGGGGGACAGCTCCTCGTGCTTCAGTTCTGAGAATAGGTGTGACCCATGCTGGCTGCCCAACTGCTGCTTCCCTTGCACTGGGAGCCCCTCATGCCTGCTGGGTGGGTGCTGGCTGCTCTGTGTGGGGCTCAGCCCTGGTGTGCAGCAGGTGCCCACCTGTGGCTGCTTGAAGTGCTCTCCAGTTCAGAGTAGAAGACTGCAGAGGAATTACAAGTGCTTGCTTGGGATCAACAGTTCATCCAGTGAACTGTTCCTTCACTTCCTCAAATTTCTTTCTATGTGAGGGGAGTGCTGGGAAAAATGAAAGCCCAAGGCCCTTTCCCTTTGAAATGGGATGCATGAAAGCTTCTACAAATGAATATTCATTAATGCTAGTGTTGAGTTTTATAACCAAATCAAAAGCATAAATTAACATCAGGGAAATTGGCAAGTATTGGGCATCAACTGCCTTTGTTTATTTCCATCTTTTGCACTTCTAGGCCATCTCCTCTCCAGCATAAGCAAATCAGCACTCTCAGTTACACCTCACACACACCTCCTGCCCCTGAAGCATCCACCAGCTCTAACTGTGCATATCCCTATTCCACATTCCTCATCCTGCACTGAGGAAATGCATTGCAGGTTCAAACCTTCTGGGCTCTGAGGAAATGTGACAGCATTGTAAAGTTATGCAACAACAACAGCAATATTGAAATCATGCAAAAAATGTCATTTGTTACTGTGCTTAATTCCTGTGGCAAATCTGTATGGGGATGGGAGCCATCCCATAGCATCCCACACCAGGCCAGCCCCATGCCCACCCTGCAGTCAGGATTTGGCAAGACCACTCTGGGAGTTTGCTGAGGGTCAAGTCTGCAGCACTGGAATCTTCATGCAGGAGGAAGCAGGGGATGGTTTCATCACTGTTCAGGGCTCTCCCTTTATATCCCATACAATGCTCCCATGCAGTTGTTGGACTGGAGACACTGTAGCTGCTGTGAGGAGCTCAGTCTTTGAGGCCCCATAGAGGTGCTGGAGTGATGTAAAATAGAGATATGCTGAACTAGTGAGTGCTTTGGTGATGCCCTCAGCAGGGTGCTGAGTTCTAGAGGGTCTCACTGCCCTGGCTCAGGAGTGTTGGATGAGGAGGGGACAAGGATCTGTAATGCGTGGTGACCATGGGTGCATCTGCAGGAGTGCATTTGTCCTTACGTGCAGCACAGTCATCCAGCACAGCCATTGCTGAGGTGTTTTTCTGCATGAAGTGGCAATCTTTTGTGCTTGGGTTGTGCTCTCAGAGCAGATTTTCCAGGGTGCATCCCCCTGCCTCTTGCTGTAACGTCACCATTGTTCTCCTCCTGTGCAGGATGCTGCATGGAATCAATGGGGATGGTGACACTGAAATAGCCATTGCAAATCATTTTGGCTTGTGTGTTTTGTTAGTGTTTCAAGCAAGTTCTCAGCCCAGATGAACTCAGCATTCTAAGTAAAAAAGCATATGGCTTGTAAGATGTCTGTAGCAGGACTTGTTCCAGTAGCAACTGCAACCGTTAAAACAGAATCAGCGTGAGCTCAGTGAGGAGGAGGTGTGAAGGCAACTCCACGGAGCAAATGGAGAAGAGCAGTCAACATAGCCAGTGTATGGGAACACGTGGGAGAAGCAAAGGGTGTCTGAAACCCCTGGGGACGAAGTAGCGTTCCTGGGAGGGGTCTGAGAGTTGGTACTTCCAAGGGGGAAGGAGCTGCTGGCCTTGAGCTGATGGACTGTATGATGTGGGGGACAGCTCACAAGCGAGGTTTTGCAAGGGAAGGATCTCACCACACTTAGGAAGGAAAGAGAAGAACTGGTATGAGATGAGAAGAAGTAGCAGATGCAGAAGAGTGAAGAGAGGGTGGAGAAATTCAGAGGAGTGGGCACAGAGATTAATTTTAGTTGTACTCATTTGGATTGATTGACATGGAGAGAGATGAGAAGGAAGTAGGATTCAGTTGAAGACAGCAGAATATTTTGAGTCTTAAGCCCTGGTCTGGATGTGGGTCTGTTCCACATCTCCCCTTTTTTTCCCACCCACTTCTACGTGGAAATACAGATGGATGTGTGACTTGCCAAAAGGGTTTGAAAAGCTGCTGACTGCTGGGCATTGGGAACATTTCCCACATTGTTATCCTGTTATTGGTGCAAGATTTAGACTGATTTGGGCAGCACTTTTTTTTGTACTGCTTTAAATCACCTGGGTATGGGATTTCTCTCTGATCCTCTCT